TCTTATATACCTCAACAGCCCCAAAGAGAAAACCTCTCAAACGTAAACAGTTGATAGTATGGAATGTTTACTCATCTGACAAACTCTATTAACTATCTTCTTGGCATATAATTAATACTACACAACAATCTGTCATCCAACAATAGGAAGTAAAAAGAAATTATAACATAAACTGAAAGTAGAGACAGTTACAATTGATTTTCTTAGGAAGAATTTGGATATTCAAAAGACATCTCACCCCACATTTGCTGCAATGTCATAGCTAGCTCTGTCACAAATCTCCTCTCAACTGGGTTAGAAAATTTCAAACCGGCAATTTGTTGAACAGCTAACAGGAAATCACGCCTTGCTTTTGAAGAAATAACAACGTAATTGGGTCCATGGATGGCAGTCAAGTCCACCACCTGAGGTCAAAAGAGTTTGTTCCAATCATCTTTTTATGTATACCAGCAGAACAAACTTGACCATAATGGAAAGGCATCACTATCTAATGGACAGTTAAGAGTTGCTAATGATTCTTCTAAGATTTAACCTTAAATGTAATATGATGTGATGATTTTCATGTCATTCCTACATTGTCTACAGTGTTAACCCAGAGCTAGAAAGTTATCAATAAAGGTAAAATACCAATCCTTTTGCATTTGAAAACTGTCCTTAGGAATCCATGAAACTCCTCCACCACCTCCCCATGAGCTGCAGTCAGACAACCCTATCCTCCCCCCCCCCCCCCCAAAAAAAAACCCAAAGTGAAAAAATTAATTGTAGGCCAAGTAAAACCATTTATTTAACACACTTACCAGTTGAATATTGAGGTCTTCAATGACAAAGTTTAAGTTTAGCTGCATAGCCTACATTCCTCAAGTAAAGAATAATATTTAAAACTGTTTTCACATTAAAATCCTCATTTCTCAGTATGGCCACACAAGCAGACCCATAGTTTAGCACCTTATCTGTCAGAGCCACTTATAGGGTGAGTTTTACTATTGCTTTGAGATTGAAGGCAGCCATCAAAAACTTCTAGTGTGGGCACTAACTTACATAAATTGCGGCTTAGTCAAGAAAGAAACAAAGATACGAAATTTGTTGAACTTAAAGATACCACAGGGACTCCTCAAACAATTATCTAAACAAGAAAAGCAACTCTAAGTGTAATAAGTTTAGTACCAATTTATAAGGAAGATGAAGTCAAATTAAATAGTGCCAGAGCTTTTCTTTTCCTGGTATCATGACAAACTAAAGTGATGTCTTAGAAAATCTACATGATTTCACAAAGCAGCATTGTTCAGAAAACCTTGAAACTGGTCATTAAAGCAGCATTTGCAGCCACATACAAACATTATCACACACTTTGCTTCACACACTTCGCTTCTATCAATCTATGCAAGAAATGTGCTCTATCTTGTAATGGTCAGCTGAGATGGTACATAACAGTGGAGAAATGGTTTCTAATAATGCCAAGAGCTAGCAATGAGTTGAAATTTATCCTACTTAGTACTAAGGCTTTATTCTATTCGTACCACAAATTCATCAGAGTAAATCATCTAATGCAACAACACAGGAAGGACACGATGAGAAAATGACAAGGGCCACCCTACAAAGGATAAAGGAAAACGAAGTGCTTAAGTCAATAAGAGAAGGAATCAAGAGCAACTTGCCTGCTGCAACCAAGGGAAAATGGAAGTTGCAAATTTTTTCTTTGATAAATATGATGCCAAAGTATTCAACAGGTCACAGGTTGTCTTCTCCGATAAATATTCCAGTACAGGACCTGTTCTATCAAGAAGCTCAAACAAAATAAGCTCACTCCAGAGCAAAGAGCTTCTGCATATGCGGAGTCAAAATTTCCTTCAGACAGATAACCACTTACACCTCTCCACAGATTATCCTTTCCATCTGCACCGCGCTGTCTACTGTTCACAGCAGAAACTGAAGCAAAGACATTTTCAGCTTTTCTCATTTGGCCACCATGTCCATGGATGCCCTTTCCCACAGTACTTTTACTCAACTTTTGAGATGGATTAGTCCATATGTCTGCACCTTGTCTAGCAAAATTGCTTGATCTGCTCCTGGTAGATGCTTCTTCCTCCCAAGTATCCGCAGCTTTTGGTGGCAATGATGCAGACTGTCTATTGCATATATCCACAGATGGTCTGGGAATGCAAGTAGAGATTCTAGGAGAACAAGAATCTAAGTTTCTCTTCAAAAATGTGGCTGCAACTATACCTGTACTTCTTCCCCCATTGAAAAGCTCTTGTGTCATTCCTTCAATCACATCTTCAAGACTTGACACTTTCAACTGTATCATTGACAAACTATCCATAATGTTGGACGTGAAAACCTGAAAATGTTGAGTAACAAGACATATATCAGATGCACAGAGAAATTTCTTAAGTCCGAAAGTTAAAGCTATGGAACCATTTATATACACAGATTCAAGAAGAGAACTTTTAAGAGAAACAAGAGAATAATTAGGTCTTAGCTGCTTTAAGCAGGTAAAGCTAGCAATAATAAACTTGACTATTCTGTTTACTCAATTAAATTTCCCTTCCCCTAAGTTCGTCAATCAGACACTTCTAAACACAATTTTGCCTTGTAGAGTAGTATTTGCTGAATTAAACATAATACTTTTTTGGTCCTGAAAATTATTACAAGTATTCTTTTTATTTTCAAAAGTTTATATAGATAGCATGTCCAGATGGCATGATAACTAACACAAGGAAGGAGGCTTGAACCATTTACAGTATTCAATAAATTGGAAAAGATTACCCTCAACGAATCCATCAGATCTGTTTGCTTATTTTCAATCCCAGAAGTTGTTTTCGAATGGATGCTATGTCATTTGCCGTTTTCGAGCAACAGCCATTCATTGTGGGAAAACTGGATTCAGTAACTGTGGAGTCCAAGCTATGACGATCCCGGATTTGGGACCTGCATCTTTTTTCTTCAGTGCTCATTTCTTCAGTTGTAAAAAGTGGACCTCTACCTGTTTTCTTTACAAGATTAACTTCATCAAGGACACTAGGACAAACTGTCAATGCTTTAGATTCAAAATTCTCGGGAAAATGAGCAGAGGCAGAAGAGCACTCCTGTTTGTCATCCGCATGCACATATTCATATTCCACATCCTGAGTACTTGTCCTACCACCACTTCTTTCACATGTCTTAGTAACACAACTACCCTCAGATTCTTCGTATTGAACATCTGACAAAGAAATGTTACGAGTCTTTGGAACTGCAATTTCTATACTCCAATCACCTGCTTTTGAATGCTGAGCCTTTTCAATAAGATTGTCCCCTGATTTTTTGAAAGAGAGAGGGACCCTTTTCTTGACTGAGTTTGTACCAATTCTCTTAATTCGAGCATCCTTGGGTGTAGAAGTACAGGCACTTGCAATATCAGAATACTCGTCTCTATAGAAATTTTCTGCACAATGCAAATAACTGTTAGATGCTGTTACAATAATAACAAAGTCAACCATTATTTGGAGGAAAAAACAGCTAGGAACAGCTATCCGCTGGAAAGCAACTCGAAAGGGAACATTTTAAATTGCATTGCTCACAGGAAGTAACAATAATGGCACCATCTATAAGACCTTTAACTGAAGACCCAGCTTCTGATGGTTCTGGTGTATCACTTCCAGGAAGGTTTCTCCAGATTTGTAATGCCTGCAGTGCTGTGTCCCTGACTGGTTTAACCTAAACAACAAGGATGGATCACATAAAACTCCAACTAACTTTTCACACAATTGAAGCTCTTGGAGCATTAACTACTATGTGGTAACTACTTAGTCACAAGAAATTATTAACCTTGTCGAAGCGACATGATTCAAGACAATGCAAGCAAGAAGACTTGAAAGAGCCAAAGAATGCTCCACCATTGGAAGCAATATCACCTAATGCTGCAGAAGCAGCTTTTCGTGTTATCCAGTCACTATTCTTGAGAGCTTCTTGGATACTAGCAATGGCTGCAGATAACGAACTATGTGTGGAAGCACCACCAGCCTGAATGGTACACTAAAATCATTCAGATATATATGAATCAAATAGAAAATATAATACTCATGTTCCAAAAGTAATTATCAAGACATTAACACCCTTTCTCTTTTCCGTTTGGGTTGGGCTGGTTTTAAATTATAGTCAGTGTCCATAATGGGTCATTAAAAAAGAGATAGATGCTGATAGACAGCGAAAATTTTCACTTGGTCATTCAATCTGTAATGCTATTAGCCAAAATGAAAAAGTTCTTTATTTTTTTTTTTCTGATTTTGAATCCACAAGTACTATAATGAAGCATTGAATAAAGAAAATAGACATGGAAAAATAACCTTGCAGTAAGAAATAAATAGACCTGAATGATACTTCTGTTCAGTTCTATGACAGCTGGTTTTGCCATGAAATGTGGGTTCTTGAGCAACTTAACAGTCCTTGCTAACATCTTCTGCAATATTGACACTGGGGGATCACTGATATTATCAATGACCCTTGCCAAACATAATGCCGAACCAGACTGTACTTGCTTATTCTGTTCACCCAACGCTTCAAATAGAGGCTTCACTAGAGCAACAAAAAGTCCATTATTTCCACCCTCATCACTACCAAACTTGGAAGCCAATACACCCATTGTATCCACACAAGCATCTCTCACCACAGTGTCTGAATCCTTGAGCCGTTTAACAATGCTAGCAACCATCTTCCCTAAGTAGGGCAATACTAGGCCTTCATAGTATGTTGCTAGTGAAGCCATGGATCGAATACATTCCTTACGAACTGCACTCTTTTGCACCGAATCAGTGTCCAATATGCAAGAGAAAAATGAGGAAAGCCCATCTGGGGTTAAGCATTCGATTGCCTTGTCGAGCTCTTCAATCCCAATTTGATAAGTATCCCTATCAGCAATCTTATTCAAGGCAAGAACCACGCGCTGTTTTAGCTCGAAAGCCGCCTGCTGACTACTCACCCTCGCAGTTCCTTTCCCTTTCACCATATTTATTTGTCTGTCTCATCTCCTTAACCTCTATACTCCGAACCCATTTCAATCTTTCCGTCAAACCGCAGCTCTAAGCTGCAAAATCCCATCCATGCTTGTCCTTCAAGAACCAGAGCATCACTGTAATCACCAATGGTAAAAGAGTTTCTACAGACAAGTGATACATTGCTAAAATCTAACACCATTCTCATGACAGTAAGATTTAACTACAGAAGGCTCCATTTAATCGGTAACTAAACTTCCCTAGTCAAATTTCTGATGTTTCCACTTCATTTTCACTGTCTAAATACTCTCATTTTCAATCAAATATAGGGAAAGAACCGTAAAAAGAAAAAATAAAAAAGTATCTAAAAAGAAAAATCTGAACTTTTTCGTGCAGCAATCACCAACACATTTTCCTCCAAGTATAGTGGAAGTACAAGTAGATTTAAAACAATAATGATAATTAAAAGGGGGAAAAACAAAAAAAAAAAGGGATAATTATATACCTGGACCTGGAGCTTCAAGATTAACGTCCACTGCAGAATTAGAACACAAATTTAAAAAAGATTAAATTCATTACTGAAATTAATCGGAAACCAAAAGCAGAAAAAAAAAACGTTGAAAACTTACAAGAGAAACCAAGCCCCTAAACTCAAATGAAGCATCGAAAAAGATGCATACATACGTTGAAAAGTGCATGCACCGCAGGCTTTGGAGTGCTAAAGTAGATTAATTAGTACTAAGTACCACTATATAATTTGCTTCGAAATTAACGCAGTCAACAGCCAACAGGCCTACTAATTATATATTATATATCTAAAAAGCTGCAAATTCAAAATTCAAAGTGAAGGCAATTAAATCAAGAATTATTACAATGATTACGAAATTAATTAACTAAATTGCGATTTCCTTCCGATACTTACCATTCGATTCCATTAACTGGTACGGATAAAATTATACACTTTGAAAAAAAAAGATAAATAAATTATACACTATATTATCATTATTCTCTGAAAAGAGAAAAAGATTGTCGTCGTCTAAAGTCTAGAATCGAGAAGTTCGAGAGTACCTGGGTCAGTGCTCTGTGTGTGTGTGTGTGGGAGAGCGTGAATCTACTGTGTGAGTGTGTGTTTTAAAGCGGTGAGAGGTTTGAGTTTGCGCTTCGGAAAAGGATTCAAATCTTGGGGAGCGTTATGAGGTGGACCCCATCCCAAGGTTTTCTTATCAAACAAAAAACTGGAAGAAGACAAAAACACTCGGTTGTATTTTAGATGTTTTTAAAATATTTTACTATAGTAATGTAAGTGAAAATTTTTTTACTGTTGATGAGATTTTTGAGCATGTTTTTGGTGTTTTGAAATTATTTTTTTTGTGTTTTTGAGGTTATTTTGGTATTTTTGTGATTATTTTTATTTGTGTATTACTGTAACATTGTAATTATTTTTCAAAAATGACCAATCCAAATGCAGTTAAAATTTTTTTGTGCAACCAAATGCAATTGGTGTTTATTCTCAGGGGAAAATAGATGAATTTGTTTGGATTGCTTTTTCTGGATTTTTTATTAAAAAAAATTAATGTAACGATTTGATATATATGAGATAAAAATGTGACTAAAAATGTATTCATGAAAAACGTAGCAATTTTTCTTTTGAAAAATTGCTTTCCAAGCAATTGGTGTTTACACTTTTGTAGTCCCTCACTTTTAAAATAATGTAATTTAAAATTAAAAAAATATATGTGTTTGCTTCTTCTTCAATTCTATCTGTAATTTAAAAAAAAAACTTTGGATTACAACTTTAAAAAAAAAATCATTTTGTAGGATATCTTTTTTTAATCACTTGTTTATCTCACATACATATGTTACATCGTTACAATATATTTTTTTCACAAAACTCTAGAATATAGTAATTCAAACGAATATTTGCTTTTGTGATTTGTTTTTGTCCTTTGTATGAGACAAAAATATATAAGCATTTTTTTTATTACAATGTAGCATTAAGGACGAAGCAAGTGTGAATTTTTTTTTTTCAAAAATTTCATTTTAACCTTAGTATAATTTGCCTTCAGATTTTATTCGGAAGTTAACCTTAAATTGATGGGTGATTTAAAAATATCCTCATCATAATTTTATTTGAAAGTTTAACTATTCAGATTGACTGTTACATCTAACGAAAAATCCAAAAGTTTCACTTTGTATCTTGGCAATTTGTTGGATAGAGCAATAGCCACTATCAAATATTGGTGTTTGTTTCTTGTTCTCATGCTTGAGGACAACATGGTTTAGGTGTGGGGGGGAATTGATAGGGTGTTAATTGTTGGTATTTTTATTATTAATTTTCCCTTCTATCCCTGACAAATATTGTGTTAATTGCTGATATTTACTCATATTTGGTATCGGGACTTAATTTCAGGAATGAAGCAGAAAACTACCAAAAAGGAGGGACTTTATGGAGAATATGGAGACTTCTAAGGGCTTCAATCCTTAGGCCTTGGATTGGTGGGGACCACAAAGCTATAAGTCATTTGGGCTCTTAAAAGAAAGGAACGTAGAGAGACTTGGGAGAAGAAGTAATTTTGGAGACTTTGTCCACATGTGTGGGGACCACCGGAGAGAGCTTTAAGTCATCTTACTTTTGGCTTTTTAAGGAGAGGACGTACGGAAGCAAAAGGGGGGGACCTCTAGTTTAGCTTTTTAGTTTAGTTCTAGTTTCCTTTCTCTGGACTGGCCTCTGACACACGCCAGGTGTTCGACAATATTCCCCAACGGGAAAAACATCTTTTATTCCTTGCTTTCTAGTAAAAACGCAATGCCTTTGCAATCCAGTACTTTTGGCTGCAATTCAACTATGAGGAGTGGCTAATTTCTTCATCTAGTCAGAGGTTAAATCGAAGCTTTGGTTCGACAAAACTGTGAGATCGAATTGATTTCCCTACGTTCTTTAATTTGCAAGTATTTATATATTTCCTGTTCACTTATGCATATGATTATTTCTTGCAATTAAATACTTGATCACTGTTTAATTGTGTGAGTAATTAACAGCCATCTAAGAGTGCTCAATCCGTAATTGTTGGGTAATTTTAGTGCATGTGGCAAGTGATATGATTCAATTGTAGTAGAAACTTTTGAGTCGTTGTTGCGGAAATATATGATATAGCCTAAATAAACCGAGCGTGTGTGTTTGTTGGTTATAATTGGTGGCCAGTCTAATGATTAATGCTGTCAATAGGTTAAATCCTAAGAGCGTGTTTAGGACTGCTTAATTGGTTAGGGCAATAACTACAGAGCTTGTTGTGGTTATCGAATCAGGAAGGTTAGGCAGGTTGTCAGAGCTTGTTGACAACCATAACCAGTTTATTTGTAAATGAAAGATTTTATCTCTGCATCTGTGATCAGTGATTCGAACCATTAGTGGAGATTATACCTTTGACTAGAGATTTTCCTTCCGTTAATTTACTTTATATTTTTAATTTGAGCAATTAAATTAGACAGTTCCATATCAATTCCCCCCATTTTTATTTAATGTTACATTCATTCAAAATAAATTCCCAAGTCCCTGTGGATTCGACCCTGCTCGCTGCTATATTCGAATTTTGTCTTTCACGTAATTAATATACTTTGGTATATCGGATCAAGCAAACTCTGGCACCAGGGTGAAGCTAGTAACCCATTGCACAGCCTAAGTCCCTGCTCCAGTACCATAGTGGACTTAATTCGTGACTTAAGAGTAGGAATTTTATTTTTGCTGGTTTGACACCCAACAATGTTGCATACCTCCCTTCTAGGACACACACACACACATATATCATAATTTTCTTTTTTCGAGTCTCATATTTTGCATTTCTTGTGACCTCTTCAAAGAATTATTCTTAGGCTTCGCAATTAATGTGATTGGTACCAATTAAGTTTTAAAGAGACATTTCATCCCTCCCGATACCCTCTAGGTCTAGGTTTGCATCCATACAAAAGCATTCAAATGTAATAAGTTTTATATGTTAGATTAGGAAAAATTTTGACTAAATCTTGCAACTAGTCTTGGCTAGATTGAAGGGTGTCTTAGATTTGAGTCGATTAAATCTTTGTCTTCCCTTTTTTCAACCGTGACTTCTAAACTATTTTTTTTTTTGTTTTCAAAGATTTGGAGTTGTCTAAAAAGGGTTTATTTATTTTTTCATTAAAAATATATTTTGAGTGATTTGGTACACCTAAACTCAATACCAAGTAGCGATTTTACTTTTTTTTTTCTCTCTAAAAACCCTTTTTACACTAATATTTTGGGTCCAAACCGTCGCATTCTCTAAGTCTCATTTTAGGCCCTTCTTCTTTATTTTTAAAAATCAAAAACTCATTTTTTAAACACTTTCTATTTTATTTCAAAAACAAGGCGCGACAATATATATATATAATCAAGTTGGTTTGCAAGCTAACAAATTGAAATCTTTGAACTTGAGTTCAACCTCAATGTTGATCGAAATCGAGTCGAGTTTTGACTTGAATTTCTCGCAAGCGGCTTGACTTGTGTGTAGCCCTACTATATACGCCCAAACACTTGCATTACCAAAAAACTAATTCCTCCATCAGTCATCCTTCTCCATCCAGAATACCATGTATCCAGATTAGTTTAGCCATTTGTCATCCTTGGCATCCATATTCTCAGCAATTGTTGTGGGTTCTTGGAGATAAAATAAGATTGCGAACAGAATCTCTTGTACAACAATTAAAGTATGTGAGTGTTGGATCCAGAAATTATTTGATGATGACAAATTACGAATTCTTGATGCATCTAAGATTTGGGCTGGGGTTGTAAGAAGAGTGTAAGCGTACCTGGGACTACTATTTTGTTTTCGAGCAAAAAATTTTGGGGTTTCACGAAAGTTTGGGTATTGGAAATTATTTATGAACCTCGCTGCAATTTTGCAATGGAGAGAGTCTAGGGTTCTTTATTGTGTAAATTAAGTGGAGGAGAAAGGAAAATGATACTAAAGGAGGAGAGGTTCCCTAGGGTTGCAAACGAATCGAATCGAGTCGAACTTTGGTCTAATCGAGCCAAGTCTTGATGAGCTGACAATTTTGAAACTCGGGCTCGAGATCAAAAAAATAAAAATAATTATTTTATTTTTTAAAAATTAAATAAAATATTATTTTTTTAATAAATAATAAAATATTAAGGATATATATGTAATTTTACTATTAAAATAAATAAATAAATATATATATATATATATACTCGAGCTCAAGTTTAATATTTTGCGGCCAGCTCGAACTCGACTCGAGCCACTCGTTTGCACCCCTAGGTTCCCCAACAAGAGAGGAGAGAGCGAGGAAGTGTGTGTTTTGGTGGGTCGTAGAACATAGAAATTTTGACTACAGGTAGTGAAGGGCATTTGGGACTTTTAAGGCAGTTTGCTTTGACACGAAAATTTTTGCTGTGATAGTATCATCTACCTACTAATTTGTTTCATTTCAATTAGGCATGTCAATGGGTCGGATCTTATTTAAATTCAATACAGACCTAACATATGTGAAAGGGTTTGGTTTAATTTGTCAAACCTAGAGCTTACTCAAATTCAGACCCTATAAGAGAGTCATGGGTTCGGGTATGATTTATTTTCTATAATCCAAACCCAAATCTAGATCCATATCCGACATTAACCAAACCCATGCATAAATTATATATATATATATATATATATATATATATATATATATCAATAAATTTATAAAATAATATAATATTCTAAGTCATTGTAACTGATACAAACCGTTTTAGGAAAAGGTGAAAAAGTAAAAGTAAACAAATGAAAGATTGAATGTAGATGCAAACGAAACTTTGAAAATAAATAGTTTTAGTTGATAATAGTTATTT